CCTTTTATTTTATTTTGATCGGTCTCCTCGACGCTCTTTCTCGTTTGGTGCGGTAGCTGGTCTTTCTTTCTATCATTTTGTTTCTCTTCCGAGTGGTTTTTGTACCCTATTTTTTTCTGTTTCTTCGTGGGGTCGTGTATGCCGGGTTTTGAGACCACGGGCTCCCAATCTTTCTTTTTTTAGAGCTAATGTGAGAAACAACAACAAAAACAACAACAAACCAGCGCCTTCGGACGGCTTCGTGCCTCCTTCGACCGGACCGGTTCGCGTCATTTTCGCAATACGCTCCGAATGTCCCGTCGGATCACGACACCGCCGTTTGGGCCGTGTCTTCAGAATACATCCCGTCGTCCTCCTCCTCGCTCCCAGAGCAGAGTCCGGATTTGGTTGGTGGTGTTGTCACCATCGATGACGACCCTTTCACCACCAGAACCCCCCTCCACAGCGGTTCGGCCTCTGTGCAGCTTGGGTGTATCACTCTTTTGGATACGGGTCCTCCGCAGTCTTTTATTAGTTCTTCTGCATGGGAATCCATGAAAGCGGCTTCGGTTGCTTCGACGTTGTCTGAAAAACACACCCAACCTCGCTGTTGGGGTGGTTTTGGGAAATCTGCCCCGCTCCAAACTTCGACCATTGTCCATTTGAGTGTTCAGTTTCTCCGTAAGACCCTTCCTGCTTCCTCTCTTGCTGTTTGGGCATACGTTGTTCCTGACGGCGTCATGCGTCATGACGTGCTCCTCGGCAGAGGTGGTTAGATGCGGTTTAGTGACCGTTCTTACCGCACTTTGCGTGCGAAACGTCCTGGTGACAGCGTCTTTGGTGAGCTTACTTTAGCCCAACATGACACTTGTGGTGCCACTGCATTTGCTCACGATCTGTCCACAACATATGGAAGTTACCAACTTCGCTATGCAGGCAAGCATTCCCTTCAACTTCACCCAGAGCATAGCCACATTCAGGTCAATTTGGTACGCAGTTATGGTTTGCCTGCCCTTGTGGGTAACTATTTGGTGGATATGCTCCCCCAATGTGCTATGTTTTCTTCCGAGGAACATTTTGTGCAAAATGGTTGCCAACGATTCCCTCTGGCGGGCATCTCGTCTCTCGAACCCGGCGACGTCCTGGGTACAGCTTCGGCTCCCCTTCTTCGCGTGCCTCGTAGGGCTGTTTCTCGCCACAGTTTGAGTGATGGTCTTGAAACTGCGGCTTCAGAATCCACCGCTGCTTCAGACAGCTGGGTCCCTGGTCCTGTTTCTGCGGGTGGCATTGATTCGTCTGCCACGCACTCCGTCTCTGACCCCTTTGTGTATAATTTACACGAGCGACCCATCCCGTCGCCAAGCGACCGAGGGGACTTTGGTTCCGCCAGTTCTCCCTCTTCGTCGCCTCCGCCTGCTCTTCTCGAGCGGTTGACGCCAGAACAGCGTCAAAGTTTCTCCCAAGTCTGGGATAAGCTCCCCTGCCATCTCCGTGAGATTACTTTTGATCTCCACGGCCCGGGTTGGACTCCCGATGTCATTACTTAGCTTGGTAACGTTTTGTGCGAATACCATGATGTGTTTTCGAGTTCTTCGACCGATTTTGGATCTTGTTCGCTTTTTCCTTTTAAGCTTACAGTTCCTCCTGGCAGCGCACCCGTCACGTCTCGCCCCTACCGCGTTAATCCCCCGGTGGCGAAACAAGTTGACGCGATCCTTGACCAATATCTTGCGGCAGGTTTGATCCAACATTCGACCTCGCCTTACTCGAGCCCTTTGGTAGTCATACCGAAGAAATCTGGTGGTGTTCGCATCACCGTCAATTATCGCAAGCTCAACAAGCTTTGTGCTTTGAGTCAGCTTCCGATTCCTCGAGTCGATGATACTTTGGACAAGTTGTTGAAAGGGCGAATATATTCCCTTTTCGACATGAAATCTTCGTTCCACCAAATCACGGTGCACCGCGATACAATCCCTTTGACGGCATTCGTGACGTCTTCCGAGCTTTTCGAGTGGTTGAAGATGCCTCAAGGCAGTTCGGCTGCCCCTGGGTGGTTTTGCAAAGTTGTCAACGAAGTCATCAAAAATCTCCACGGTGTTGCATCGTACTTGGATGATTTGATCGTCTTTGATGACACCCCTGCTACTCATGTTGGTACCATGCGCGCACTCTTTGAACGCTTGCGTACGCACAACTTGAAACTCACGCCTCCGAAAGCTACTATTGGCGCTACTGAAGCAGACTTCCTCGGACACACCATCTCCCCTGACGGCGTTAGGCCTAACGGTGCCAAGGTTTCGGCCCTCACCAAAATGCCTATGCCCAGGGATGTCAAGCAACTGCGTTCCCTTCTCGGTGGTCTCAGCTACTACCGTAAGTTCCTCCCCTTCATGGCTAAACGCATTCGATATCTGACTACTCTACTCAAGAAGCAGGAGAAGTTTATCTTCACCCCTTCCATGGAGCAAGCCGTTCGCGTTTTGTTAGCTGAGTTGGCCAATCCCCCTGTTTTGGTTTATCCAGATTGGGATGCTGTTTCAGACGGCTCGCGACCTTTTCATCTTTACTGTGATGCTAGTCGCGATGGGTTTGGTGGGACTCTCGAACAAGAACAGCCAGATGGTTCCATTCGCCCAATTGTCTTCATCAGTCGGGCTACTTTGGACTCAGAACGCCACTGGACTCCCCTCGATCTCGAAGCGAGTAGCATCGTGTGGTGTATCAAGCGCCTTCGCGGCTACTTGTGGGGTACAAAATTTCGCATTCTTACCGACCACAAGTCTCTCGAGCATTTTGCTAAGGTGGGGGAGAACAATGCCCGCGTTCAGCGCTGGCTGGAATTTCTTACCGCCTACAGTTGCACTCTCGAGTGTCGCAAGGGTTCCGCAAATGGCAACGCTGATTTCCTCTCACGCCTCCCAGTCGCTGCGGCTGAATGCGACCGTTCGGGTCGCAGCCGTCTGACCCCGGCTGAGGATGAAGAGGCGGTGTTTTTCATCCGTTCGTGTGGCCTTACCCCTTCCGGTGATCGGGCCGCGGATATTGGCTTGGGTGGGCTTGTTCCTAATTCCCCGACTTCGGTCTTGGGTGGGCTTGGCCCCTGTACGGCTGACTTCGCTGATTTCCGTCGGCACGGTCCGCGTCTACCGTAATCAGACCCCTCGTCTTCATCAGGCATGTGGAACGTCGCTTCCTTGTCGCTCAAGATCGCTCCCTTGCCGTCCGAGATGTTCTGCCGTTCGGCGCGGTCGCGATTGCGCAATCGACCTCCCATCGTTTGGTCCGGTTCCCTACCTCAGTCTTTCGATGATGGTTTGGCTCTCGAGCCCGAGCCTCCGTCTGCCGGTCTCGCCCTTGGAAACCCGCATCGGATCCTCGACCTCATCCAAGTGATCTCCACCAGGACTCGCCGTCGCAAGGCAGCTGCGGCAGGCACGCCACTCCCGCCTGTTGATTATGGTTTTTCTGACGATGAGCCTTCTTTGTCTCCCACGCGGATTTCCGCTCCCTCTCGACCGTTTCGGCGGTCTCCGACGGCGACAAAGGCGCCGTCGATGACACCAGCCTTGCCCAATTGGGTTTCGACTACCGATGCTGGTGGTTTATCCTCGACTCCCTCCGCGCCTCTGGCTCATGGAGTAGAGCCTGCGTCTCCGACGCCTGCCACAACTGCGGTTGTTCCTGCCGTGCAGCCTCCCGCAGACCCCGGCTCCCCGGAGTCTTTGTCGCGTTTGGTGTCAGCCGCTCGCGCGCATTCGCCTTCGGCCTCCATTGCTCCTCTATCCTCGGATGGGTTGCAGTCGGCGCTTCGCGAATCAACCCCCTCTTCTATCGAGGCGGCTTACATTCTTCGGCGGATTTAGCCTTCCGGGCGTCCGTCGAACGTTTCTCGCATGCTGATTGGGCTCGCGAGCAACGTAACGAACCTGTGTGTGATGCAGCCATTCGTTTCATCCTGCTGGGTCGGCCTTCGGCCCTCCCTTCGGATTTCTTGGAGCGTGTTCCGTCCGCTCGTCGACCCTCTCTTTCGGAGATTCGTGACCTGTCTAACAAAGGCCGTTTGCTTGTTGACGATGATGGTTTGGTCTTGCGTGTTCGCAAGCAAACAACGACCCCGTCGTCCACGACCGCACGTCCTGGCGGACGTGCTGCTCGCCTTCTTAACGCTGAACCCATTCGGATTAGTGTTCCCATGCTCATGCGTCCGTGGATCATGCAAGTCTGCCACGCCGATGCGTCCTGTCACCTCGGTGCGGCTCGCATGCTTACCATGCTGGAACGTTTCTATTGGTGGATTGGCATGAGTGTTTGTACGAAATGGTGGGTGCGGCATTGTTTGCGATGCCAAGCCCGTAAATCGTCTCGTCAGACTCCTCGGTGGCCTACCATGTCCCTTCCTTTGCCTTCGGGCCCCGGTGTGTCGGTGAGTGTTGACTATTTTGGTCCAATTCCGTTGACACCACGTGGCAACACGTACATTCTGCTCTTTACAGACCGCCGAAGGCACAGCTGACATCCTTGTCAACAGGTATATCCCGCTGTGGGGTTGCCCGTTGAATCTTTTGTCTGATAACGGCTCTCAGTTTTGCTCTAAACTGTCCCAAGCCGTGTATGCCCGTCTTGCTATCCGCAACGTGGCTACTAGCTCGTACCATCCCAATGGAAATGGGGGTGTGGAGCGCGTCAACCACACTATGGCTCAAATGTTGGCTATGGTTGTCAACGAACGACAAGATGATTGGGACATTCATCTCCCACACGTCGCGTTTGCTTACAACAATTCCGTTAGCGCCGCTACCGGTTCCGCGCCCAATGAGGTGCATATGAATCGATTGCCTCGTTTACCGATGACTGTTCTTGAGCATCCTTACGCTCGTGGCCACCAAAGCTTGCATCGTGATCAACTCGAATATTGCGATCTTGCTGCTGATCGCCAACGTCGTTCTGAAGACTTGGTGCGTGAACAGCATAACCTGTCCGTTTCGCGGATTGGGCGGCGTAATTCCACCCTATCGGACGCTTTCCATATGCTTCCTTCTTACACTGTTGGTGGATGGGTTTGGGTGTATAACTCTGAATCTACTATTCAACAAGGCGTTCGTTTAGGCACAGATGATAAGGTTATCAAAGCCAAGTTATCTCTACTCTGGACTGGCCCCTTCAAGATCTTGGCTGTCGGCCCATGTTCTGACAGCGCTGACGGTCGTCCTATGGCTTCCAAGTTGCTTTACTTGGATCTTCCTTCGGACCTGCCGGGCCAAGACTCGAAACCTCGTGTTTCGGTTGTGCGTTGCAAGCCTTGTGCCAACCCGCATGACACCGATGACCTGCCGCGCTTTCTGCCTGCTGGTCTTACTCCGTATGTCCTGAACTCTTATGTGAACAAATCTCCTCCGCACGACCCCTCTTCTTCTTCGTTCCGCTTCCGAAACGTTTGGTTTCCAGCCTTTTGGTACGTTGTGATGCTCTTGTACTTTTTCGTATATTTTTGCCTCTACTTAGAGTTTGCGGGCTAAAGGTGTTTCGTGACCTTTGTTGTCGCTCCCACGCTACCGTGGTGATTGTTTGGCATATCTTATCGTTTCGTCGATACAGGCCTTTTTCTTTCACCGTTCCCTTTCCGTCGCTCCGGCGACGCTTATTTTGATCATTTCTTTCCTGTCCTCTTTTCCCCTTTCTTTCGGGTTCTGACCTGTTTTGGTATTTGTAGCCTTCGCCTGTTGCGGCTCTCCCGTTGGTTTCCTCTCTGTTAGCCCCAGTTTATTATTTTCTGTACCTTCTTATTCTAGGTCAAACGATGGTCTTGCGACCCATCGAGTGAGAGGTGTGGGAGGGCAAATTGTGGTATTTTGGAGCTCCGCATCCTCGATACTTTCATTTGGGATTTGACAAGTAATTGTCAGGTTCCGAGATTTAGTATCTGCGTGTGAGAACCTCCAAGGTGGGCTAGTGTTATGGGATTTGAATGTGTAGGAAAGTACAAACGGTAGTGCGGGCTAATGCCCAGAGAAAAGTGCGGGAGATGTAACTCCCCACGGAAGGACAAAACAGGGGACAGGATCTAGTAGCCACTGCTTTAGCAGCTGATCCTGGCCCCATCCTAGTCAGTCCTCTACCTTCCCTTGGCAACAGCTACTGCTGTTCCACACGAGTTAATAACAAGTGAGTTCGTCTTCACGGGTCTCCCAGATTGCACCGCGCGTGCATATCCTTTACAAGTATTTGTGGTGTCAACAATGACAGACAATTGTCCGCACTCAAGTAGAGTAGTACTGTGCTGTGCAGTTGGATTTGAGGCAAGGCATGTTTCCACGTTGTACTCGCTGAAGACGGCAGCTTGGGGCTTTTGTCTAGTGTAAGAATGGAATGTTGCTTGTGCGTGTGTTCGCAGAGTGAAGCTAGATATAATCACGCACTCTTTTGGTCGTGGGGGGGCCTTCGCCAGTTGCAGGGTAAGGGCGAATACGGCATATGCACTGGGTTCGTTGATTGCGCCTGTAAAAGCCCCGGAGACGAACACAGTATAGATCACATGCTATGTATTACCTGATCAATTGCGTAAAGTAGAGTCAAGAGGACGCCTGTTTACCCTCTACTGGCTGAATATGTAGTCGGCACAACAGTCGGCAGTGCTGGGTCGTTGCATCGTTGGGATCTTTCGACGGCGATGCCAAAAAAATTACTATCATCAGCACCATCAAAATGGATTCACCGTTCGCCAGTACATACCAAGCGTCATGCCGTAGAATCGTCATGTCGTGCACCGTACTAGCCTTGCCAGCTGAGCTGCTCTCTCCGAAGATATGTGGACGGGCGACGGGCGCAAGATATGACACGGACAGGTGCGGCGGCAGGTTTGTGCGTGTTGGGGGGGGGGGGGGGGGGGGNGGGGGGGGGGGGGGGGGGGGGGGGGGGGGGGGGGGGGGGGGGGGGGGTTCCGTGAATCACATCTCCCAAATCAAGATACTCGAGAGCGAGAGTGCTCCTCATTAGCCAGCGACGTGGCATATCTGCACAGCTTGCTGGTGCTGTGGTTCAGCGTTCGGGTACGGGAAGACGTATTGCTTCCATTGGCGTTCTATCCTGACTGGCGAACACAATGGTAGCAGAGAGGAGGCGAAGAACCGACTCAGCATGCGTACTTTTCATGTTCAACAGCAACATAAGGGCATCCCCTGCGTTCCTCGCACCGAAACCAACCATCATCGCTCCTCCCTGGAGGGTAAGAGAACTGGGCCCTCAAGCAGGGCACGGAGAGTTCATCGGTCGTGGAGTGGCACGGAATTGGCACAGTGCGCATCAGAGGTCAACACAAAGGACCTCCATGATCCAGGATCTCTTCGATACGAAGGCCAGGAGTCAGGTACGCTTGATGCCAGTGGAACAACTGCTGTGTCCGTTGAAGAATGGCAGTCTTTTTGTTGAAATCAACTCCGCCAAGTGCAGAAGCCAGCTGTATGTGTAACACCCTATTAGCGAGAGCTAATGCGCACCGGTACGAATATGGGCTCTGTTGTGGTTTGCGCGGGACGCTACAGCAGTGCAACAAAGAGCCGTCAAAGGTCGAAAAGGCGGCGCAACCTAAGGTGTTGCATCAGTTCGTTCGGCCAACGCCCGTGCCGGGCCGCATCTTGCCCCCTCTAGTGGTCGACACGACTTGCTTGTGTGTGCAGCAGTGCCGCACACACATAAATTCGTAGCGCCACAGACACCAGGTCGTATTGCTACGGCCCTAGCCTTCGGGGGCGACAGCATTACTCCCCGTCCATGCCCCACACATACTGCCATCTTGTGTGACATTACCCTGCCCGTCTGTCCCGACTTCCCCTCAGCCTCCCGCCCCAACCCCGTTGCCCCCGCTAGCTTGTGTCCAGGACATACGCCTCGGATCCGTCATTGTTTCGAGACATTGACACGCTGGATAAATGCTCGAGCTGGACTGATCCAGTTATTTTCAGCGATCAGATGGCACTTAGTCCCACTACGCGCGGGGTGAGCAGTAAATGCTGTGGAGACCGAAGCTCCGCTGGGTCACTTGCAGCAGTAGGGAGGGGGGATGTCGGAGGTATTTAGATAGAGCTGTCAAAGTACGTTGCCTTAATATAGAGCATTGTGGAACACCCCCAAAATCAATGCTACAGACCAAGTACTGCGGGCCTCGCAAGGATCGAGATGAATACATGTAGGTTCATACTTCGAAGTACATAAATGGTGCCGCAAATAGTGGACGGCTATCCATTGATTAGCACACATGCACAAATCACAATCCGTCCCCCCCCCCCCCCCCCCCCCCCCCCCCCCCCCCCCCCCCCCCNCCCCCCCCCCCCCCCGCCCCCTTTTCGATCTTCAGACCGCGCCCAAACGCCTGTGTTCTTCGTCTCGGTGTCGTTACACCGCTGTGCCGTTACATTAACATATGTTGGCAGGCTCTCTTTTCCACCGCCATTCGATCGTTGCTCGTGGTGGCGGCCTTCATGTCTTTCCCGACACTGGTCGAAGAGATCGCGCCGCTAATATTTTTGAAGGTACGCACCATTCTGGGATAGCTTTACCGTCTCGCCTCCGTGCTGCTACTGCTGGTGCTACTATTGTGCCCGTTCACGCGCATTGCTCGTGGTGCTGGGGGGGGGGGGGGGGGGTACTCATAGTCGTGCATGCCGTAGTCGTTAGATGATTGACGTCGCATCCGCCGGGACGGAGCACGCCGGATTCTCACCGGACCAGGCTCTCACATCACCAAGCGCGGAGCGCCGTGAGATATTCGGCGAGTCGCATGAAGGGTGCGCTGCATCCTGCTAAGGGTGTTCGGCATCATGTGCTTACTTCCTTGCGTACGGATGACACCTGCGTATGACATACTTTATTTTCTGGTGCTTCACTTTCAGAGACAATTGTAAGCATTATGTAACTGCCTCGAGGGTACTTGACCATTTTAACACAACGTGGTGCGATNCCGCATCCGCCGGGACGGAGCACGCCGGATTCTCACCGGACCAGGCTCTCACATCACCAAGCGCGGAGCGCCGTGAGATATTCGGCGAGTCGCATGAAGGGTGCGCTGCATCCTGCTAAGGGTGTTCGGCATCATGTGCTTACTTCCTTGCGTACGGATGACACCTGCGTATGACATACTTTATTTTCTGGTGCTTCACTTTCAGAGACAATTGTAAGCATTATGTAACTGCCTCGAGGGTACTTGACCATTTTAACACAACGTGGTGCGATCATCCCCCTTGCGCGGAGTGAGGGTTCTCGACCCCGCACAACATGGTCTACTCGACCACCATTATGGTTACCGCCAAAACAGAGGTAAAAAAGAAAAATAACGATAACCTGGTTGCCGAGTTCAGGAAGTGATTTGGCTTGTTTTACAACGTCGTTGCCAAGCGACGAAAACCCA